TGAGGTGTGTGTTGTGTGTGTGTGGTGTGTGTGTGTGTGTGTGTGTGTGTGTGTGTGTGTGTGTGTGTGTGTGTGTGTGTGCATATGTGTGTTGGCGAGGGAGAATATGCCACCCAACCTCAGACAGCACAGAGACATTCATTACAGTGGTGACTACTAATCCATATGTTTGTACTGCGAGCGGTTCCCCATCACTCAATTGAGTTTCTCCAGCAAGGTCTGGCTCTGCCTCTGAATGGGAGCTGTCAGCAGAGGAGGTGAAATGTGAGGGGGTGAATTTTAGCGCATTTTGTTTGTCGATTTCTACCAGCTCGCACTGACAGCCAAGGTGCTTCCAAATGTCAGCTCGCTACTGCGGTATCAATATGATTAGCTTACCCGCGCTACATCTCTTCCTCTAATGTTATTCAAATCAATAGCAGACAGTCCTTGTCCCTCCCTGCTATCCTGACAGCCTTTGCTCAATTTCTATATGTAAAAAGAGAGTGGAGCAGTCTTGTAGAAATGCTGTTAACTGACAAACATTTCCCACACACTTCTCAATGTTGGATTCTTTTAGGGAGGGCTATTATCAGAGTGGCTTTGACTGATTGAAATGGGTTTAGCGTCTCATTTTGGACACAGAGTAGGTGGAGGAAATTGTTAAGGACTGTTTTTCCAAACAAGATTTTGGTCATGAAAGCATCCACAGAGCCTAGCAGCAAGAAACAAGACCAATCAGCGGGCTGTGCTGAGTGTTTAGATAATGATGTTACTCATCGCCCCTAGTTACTTGCAGACCTTGTGAACAACGATAAAATGAGATGTTGGAGTAATCAAATATAGCATGATTGTGCTTCTGCATGGCCTATATTTGACTCAGAAGTAGTTCGGGACATTTTTGCCCAACGTTTAAAAACAGGCCCCTTATTATTCCTGTTATAAATCCAGAGACAAACTCCATTGAAAGCCAGCAGTGAGTGACTTTCAACACTCTGGTGCGGGAGGGGTCATGTAAATGTTTGAGTGAAGAAGAGGTCAAGTCCTTCTTTTGTTCCAGTCTAATGCCAATTGATCCTTAGCAAAGAGAGGGAACAAACTGAAATATGTGTTAGAGGTCAGTTTGTCATTTTTATAGATACACAGAGCGAGTGAAGCAAAGCCACTCAATGGCGGTGTGTGGAGGATCTGTGGCCTCATTCACAGTGAAATGAGTCCTGTCACACATGGACCAGGTGGCCGGACCTGCTGTCCCTCCACGACAGCCGAGAAAACGGCTTTCAGATACATCTCCCTCCACAATGCTGGGCCCAATCATCGCAAATACGCCAAAAGCATACATGACAAAGAGCTGCAAGCCACCCAGCAATTAGCTAATTGAAAATGATCACAGGCCGGTGAAAGACAAAGTGGGCTTTTCAATACCCTTTTGACACACATGGCTGCACATGCACATTCTCAATTGCAATTTTTTTTTGCAGATACAGGAGCTAATTCTGAGTCTTCAGTTTTTAATTAGACGGTGGACAAAGCCTTTGATCTGACCTCTCTGATGCTCCCTCCTTGTTAATCAGTGTGATCTACAAGCCTCTCAGGCTCGTGCTGGATGTTAGCCTGACAGTGTGCCCTCTCTCTTGCTCTGCCAGGTGAAGTGTGACCAGTACTGGCCGTCGCGAGGAACAGAGACCTATGGAATGATCCAGGTCACCATGCTGGACACCGTGGAGCTGGCTACTTACAGCGTCCGCACTTTCGCCCTCTACAAGGTACAAAATCTGATTTTCATTTGCACCTAACCATATAGAGAGACATGCTTATTAAGGACGTGTTTTCCAGCAGGTAATTGCACTACCTCATTACTGGGGTCACATTTTAAAAATGTAATTTCTTATTTTTCTGAATACAGATAAAGGCTATTACCACTGGAATCATTTCTTCACTGCCGTAATTGGTTTCTAACATCCGAGATTGCTCTCTTGTTCTCTAAAAGACCATCAAATATTTCAGTTTTTCACTTTGATTCATATACTTTAGTGCCATGATGATGTGACTGATGTGTCCTTTATTTCTCCTCTTGCCGTTCTCTTTCCATTACTTTTTTAATTTCGAACATTATTATAATTCCTAATTAAATGCAAGTCTCCAACTGGAGCGGCTTCTATCAGGAATGGTGACGATGCCAAGAAACCGTTTTCCGATAAACTGAAACCGAGTTCAATTCCAAAATGATACACTTTATCTGCACCTTCACTGGCAGGATGGTCACAGCCATGAAGCAGAGCACATTATGTGCTGCTATCAAAGTAATGAGTTAACTCGAGACATTTGCTCAAAATGGCTTCATTTCTGATTAAATCCCTCGTGCTTTTCAGTTCTCAACTGCAGAATTGTGACTACCTCTTAACAAAACAGTTTGACCTTAACTTGCTAAAAGCATGTTTTTCCATGACCCGTTTACAAAAAAAAAAAAAAGCCAATAACAATTTATTTGTTAACCCTCTTAGCGCTCAAAAACACCTTTCTTATCCTCTGTCTCCTCCGATTCTCCTGCAGAACGGCTCCAGTGAGAAGAGAGAGCTGAGACAGTTCCAGTTCATGGCCTGGCCGGACCACGGGGTGCCCGAGTACCCCACTCCCATCCTGGCCTTCCTACGGCGGGTAAAGGCCTGCAATCCTCCAGATGCAGGCCCCATGGTGGTCCACTGCAGGTGGGTGCAGACTGCAACAAGCTCAGTATGCGTGCAAACAGCAAATTAACTGCCAATTATCACCACATGTATATATATCGCGCATGGCTTGTTTTCCTCATGGACTTAAAAGGATTAAAGACAGGGTTGTGTCCTCAAAATATCCGTGCCAACACAGCGTAAAGGGCAACACATGCAGGTGTTGAAATCCTGTTTTTGGGTTCACCACTTTTTTCCTTCCCCATGAATTTGGCTCAATATGTTGTTGTTGTCTATGTTCCAGCCTGTCCTTAAGCCATTACATTCACACACTTTGTGCACAATCTGGAGCAACAATTTAATTATAGTCCAGCTCTCATGCTAGAGGGTGTAAATCAACTCATCTTGATTGCAAAATTAGCAGTTTTCAGCTGTCGAGCAGAGAGAACGGGTCTCAAAATACATACCTTACATACTGTAACTTATTCTTAATGCAGCTTGACTCGATTTTTCGATCTGCATATATTTGTTATGCATTTCGATAAGTATTGATACAAATATGTAACCTCATTAAATGTGAAGTTGCATTTTGATACAAACATTTTCACAACAAAGATATACACAGCAAATGAGAAGGTTAGAGAAATGTAGTTCTTAAAATAAAGCAGACACCTTCGGAGACAAACTTGTTTTATCTTAGACGATATAGGATTTAATTACTTTTGTGATTAAATCTTTTACAAGTGTTTTTCTGGTTGACCTCTCAACACTGATAACTTTGTGTTAAGTTGTTTTCTCTCTTTCGATGTTACCACTGTGTTAGTGAGAGTCTGTGGAACATAAAGTTATTGACCCTCCTCTCTCTCTCTCTCTCTCTCTGCATCAGTGCGGGGGTGGGCAGGACTGGCTGCTTCATCGTGATCGATGCCATGCTGGAGCGCATGAAGCTCGAGAAGTCTGTGGACATCTACGGCCATGTGACGTGCATGCGTGCCCAGAGGAACTACATGGTCCAGACCGAGGACCAGTACATCTTTATCCACGAGGCTCTGCTGGAGGCCGCCACCTGCGGAAACACGGAGGTCCCCGCACGCAACCTGTACGCACACATCCAGAAACTCACCCAGCCCCCGCCCGGCGAGACGGTCACTGCCATGGAGCTGGAGTTCAAGGTGACTGATCAGCACGCACCTCAGACTATTATGTTTTAGGTTTTATGTCATTACTTTGACTTTGTAGAAACTTTACATTTTAACCGGTGCTGGAAGTGACTCATGCAGATTGTAATGAAGCAATTAAGTTCAGAGAAGACATTTCAGAACAGCTTTCTTTACTTTATAGCGCACTGGATAGTTTTCAGGAATCACAACACAGTACAGGAAGTGAGTTTTGTCAACAAAAGAGATATTCTCAATCTGTTCTGATCTGGAAGCACTAGACTGTGCTCACACTTACTTTGTCCAAAGTCATGAAAATGGCCTCAGACTGCAGTAGCTCTGACCTTCTGTCCAGGGTGTCGCTGTTGTGCCGGTATTTAAGCATGTTTGAAGTCATT